CAAGAAAAGAAGAAGAAACACTCAGTCTTTAAAGTTGTTTTTTTCCTATATATGTTCTATTTTTGACTGACTTATTTTTTTTAAACCCAAAACAATAAATATATCATCTCCATGACTGGTGTTGATGCAATAACTGTTCATTTTCCATTTTTTCAACTTTAGAAATAAAGATGATTTTCATATGAACTTTTCATTTATGTTGATCTAAAGATCGGCAGCGCTGATGGTCTGACCAGACAAACTGATTTTCAAACTCTTTTCAATGGTCTATTCATTTCTTTTATGGAGAAATAAACAGCTCTCAACGTTTGGCTGCACTCAGACGTACTGTCAAACTAAGACATAACGGCAAATATAAAGTTCAACTGCACCTTTAACCCTTTCGGAGGCTTGTTCAGTTAAAACAACAAAGTTTACAAAACGTTCGAGGTATTCAGTGCATCAAAAGTTGAACACCGGTTTAAAAGAAGCATGCTAACTGCTGCTACAGCTGGTCAATTGAACTATTTCAACAATAAAAACACAACACGACAATTTATTAAATCAGATACTGATATGCATCTTTTATTTATTATTTTTCTTTTATTTATTTATTATTATATTGACCTTATTTTCAGGGAAAGGTAAAAAAAGACAACAGTTTTGACATGAACATCATCGTCATCTCTGAAATTATCAGGACACATCCACAGCAGTAACAGTCCTTTGAAAATCCACCATTTCAGTCCTGATGAAACAGTCATTCATAGCATGTACAATGCTGCTTTAATAGAATACATTAGTTAGAGCTCCATGAAATTAGCTCAGACTAAAATTCCATAAAATACGATTAATTAAAAATCAGAAGATAAGAGCCGAAGATGAAGCTTTCAAAAACAAACAATGAGCCAAGGACGACACCAGAGTTAAAGGACGAGGGAAAAGGGCAATTGTTACACTGAAGTTTTCTTTAAATTTCCGTTAAAAGCTTATACTCGGTGGAGTGAATCGTCTGACGGAGGTCATGGAGTTTAGGGCGCGGTAACCTTTTCTTCCAGGTTTCTCGCATTTGTTTAAAAGAAAGATTAAAAATAAATCTCAGCTAATGGAATGTGGTAAATCTCAGCTGGACTCCTTCTCTGCTCTGCCACCGACTCTCTCTGCACAATGCCAGGGGGAGACGGGGGTGTGAGACCTGTTCTAATTTTAAACTGTGGACAGGGAGATTAGATAATCACTGGCGCTTATACCTTTGATTTGTTTGTTCGGCTGATACCTGGAGGAAAGAGCGAAGACTAGAAATCTGAATTTCAACTCACTACTTGACCAGTGCAGCCTCGTCAGGACAGAGCGGCTCCGTCTGCTGACTGACGTTCTCCACCTCAATGCCACCTCCTTTAGCCTGAACCGCCAATCTCCCGGCAGCTAATACGGGATGACACTTTGTCACCACAATCCTAAACTCCAGCCACAATACAATTTGTCATCAAGTTCCACAGCTCATGACACTCATAAGAGCCACTCTGTCAGTGTTAATTTCACTCTCATTTTAAGGGTTCGAAGCTCTGACACACACACACACACTGACAGACACTGAAGCACTGTCCACAAGCTTCATTACCATCACCAAGCCATGAGGAGCAGCTACCCAGACAGACGGGCAGATGGACGACTCCATCAGCTAATATCAACATCTACTCACTGCTCATACTTATATATTTGTCGTATTTCATAACCTTATATTAACTATTTTTATTTTTTACGTCAGTTAGCTTACCTTTAGCTATTCAAAACTAATTTAAATGTAATTTCAGAACTAGTTTTTTCATGATTTTATGAATTGTGGCCCAACGTGAGCTAATTTTAAATTTAATTCTTATTATTTTTGGAAGTTTTTCCTATTATCATATCAGATATGTCAAAAATTAACCAGAAAATTGATATTATACATTACAAAAATTTTAAATAAGTGCCTCAAATAGTCACAACAGTCTCTTCGAAAAACATCATATCTTTTTTTGTCAAAAAACTGACTAAAAGAAAACACTTTTGTTGAAAAAAAATCAGATTCTTTGCATTTTCTTTGTTATGAAACACTTTTAAACTAAACAATTCCTTCTGAAAAAACACACGGGAGTTGTCATGTTACCTCAGAAAAGGGGTGAATTTAGATATTTCAAGGGCATTTTGCCCGAGGCCTCTGTAATTTCTAACCCTGGTTCACGTTACACGAGTGTGCAGCTAACGTGTGTCACACAATACACGGTCTTTCACCAGTACAAGCTGCCGACTCGTATGTCCTGACACAAAAACACACATGGGGACTGATGCATGAAACCATGTTTGCTCTGTCTTACGTTTGTGGGTCAATGGCTGGACTGAGGCACAGCTGTAGAGGATCTCTGTCATATTTAAAAAACATCATCTTTATGAACTACTTTTTTTCATGTTTCAGCCAATTTTTAAAAAGCAAACAGAACTGAGATCAAACTTTTGTCAGTGGGTTATGGATAGCCACGTCTCTGCATATTTCACATCTGACATCAGGGACGTGCTGGTCCAGGGTCAGTTAGCTGTGGCCTGTTGGCGCGGTGTAAACTAAGCTTTGTTGACCCGTGAGGCTGAAACTTGTTACAGCAGCCTCCAATCAAGGTGACGTGCGTCTAATTCAGCCCCGAGGCAGAACTGAAAACTGGTCTAATGATATGTTTATGAAACATAATTTCCGACCCTGGAGGAAACAAAGCAAACAAAGGCACCAGTGCCCTAACATTTCAGCTTTTGACCTGGCAGTTATTATGCTAACATTTACATTAGTGACCTCGGGATAGTGGGAGAAACACCGAGATGGTTTTAATTGAAGGTTGAAATGACCTTTTCATCTGCAAGGTTGGGCAATCAGTCTTAATGTAGGGGGGTTCAAAGCTCAGTTAACCTGCTCAGGTCACATCACATCTAATATATCTGATTTTGCAAACTGCCGGCATTAAAAAAAGCAACGTAACGAACCGAACACGGATGTAATTAAAAGTGGACCGCGAGTGTGTATGTCAGAAGGTCAGTCCGCCTGTCACACTGTACACCCAGTCTCACAAAATTAACCTTGTCCAGTTAGATTAGGTTAAAAACACTTACTAACACAAACACAGGCGACTCCATGAAATCAATGTGAATTTAAAAGGTGAGGTCTGAAACCCCTCTGAGGAACCATTTCCCACAACGAGGCCTCTCCGAGTGATTAATCTTGCTATTTTTAGATTAGTTTCCTACCTATTTCTTTCTTCTTTTTTTTTTTTAATGTAGAGAGTAGACGGCGGCTCTGCCAACAGAAATACTTTGTCAGCAACTTGATTGCATTTACATGGTAGAGTGAAGCCAAAGCTGGGGCAAATTAGAGAGCTCAGCCACAGGCTGTGCTGAAATAAAAGGAACTTGAAGAAATGCCACGTGAGGCAACATCTCAAAAATCAGCCGCTTGGGAGTGTGATTTGTTTTCCTAATGCGTTCTGACTTCAGTAGTACTCACAGCTTTTGTTTACATGGTATCTGTGTGTCAGTATTTGCCTTTAATACTTTTGGTATACCTGATTCCAATTCTGATGAACAGCAATTCAACAGCAATGTCTGATTTTAACTGGTTAGTTTTCAGTAATTTTTTATTAAATATGACTTTTGTCAGTTTAAAGTTGTTTCAATGATTATTGTCGGTTTTTGACCACCTTATACTGAACAATTGAGGCTAGAACCAGCAAGCACTACAAAGATATTTTGTATATAAAATGTGACCCCTTTTCCCTGTTCAAAATTTTAATTTCCATATATATTTCCATATATATATATGGAAATTAAAATTTTGGATTTTTAAGGATTTCAACAACCTTGGAAAATCTATCACTGAGACTCTACTACCTGCCATTCTTTACTTTGTTAGTAGATCAACATAAATATATGAATGACATGTATTTGAGGTTCTGTGAGGTTGGTAAGAAAAGAAAAGGTTAAACTCCGGTGTTGGCACTATCAAAAAGACAGATGGCTGAGCTGCAGGGGGTTTGGCAATGCTGAGATTCTTTTATAGAAGAGACAAGAATGGACGGAATTAAAATGAAGAGATCAGAGGGACAGTTTAGCTAGGGCAAAAAAAAAAGAGAGTCAATGTTTAAAATGACGTTTGAGTTTGACTTGAAAGGAAACCAGTGGATTCACTGGACAAAGACACTGGGAATATGGAGCTGCCAGGTAGGAGGAAAATAAGATGTAGAAAATGAGGACATGAAGACAGTTGGTGTAACAGGAGACGAGGCAGGGGATGGAGTGAGACGGAGACAAATAATCTGCCGTAGCGACCCCTTCGGAGGGAGCAGCCAGAAGGAGAAGAAATTTTCCATTGTTGTAGATTTTGATGATGGCCGCCGTGGAAAACAATCCCTCAGTGACCTCATCTCACATATAGTCACCAAGCAACAGGGCTTAAGGTAAAGTACCGGGCTTTACCAGGAGCTGAAGAATTACAGCTCCTCCTCCAACCACAGAAACTGTCAGGTCAGTGTGGAATTGACTAAACATGGTCAAGAGTGAAGCATTTGTAAACATGAGAGGAGACAAGGAGGAGGAGGAAGAGGAGGAGCATAGGAGCCAATCACAGCAGTCATCGACCAGGACAGTTCTGCCCTCCAGTACATCATCACAAACAACCATTCTACCTCATCTGAGTGTACAGATAAGCTATCACTGCATGATCATAGACTGTGGGAGGAAACTGGACAACTTGGAAAAAACCTTACATGTGACAACATAAAAACCTCCTAAGGCTTAAACTGGCGACTTTCTTTCTATAAGGCGGGGCACTGACCACTCTTTCACCGCATGACCAACATGTTTCAAGTTACTTTTTGTTTCTATATATATATATATATATATATTTGCCTTTGAGGTACTTATTTTTAAACACAGAGTGGGCGTACTTATGTAAATACACATTTGACAGGTATCAAACATTTTAGTTTTCGATTTTTACTTACCTCAACAAGATGCAACTGGCAATGCTGACCAAAAGCAGAAACACAGCAGAGGTAGATAGGGAGTGCCGACATCTTTTCCAGGTAGGTAGGTGAGGTCAGGAAGCTGGTGACAGGTGAAAGGTGACAGGTATTACAGGAAGCAGGTGAGTCCAGTCCAGGTGAGGAAGCACAATAAATACAGGTGAACAGTACCTACACTGTGATGGTCCCAAAAAAGGTGCAGGCGGTGACAAAGTTCTGGAGTCCGGATTCATAAGACAAAGTTAGTGGTTTGTAAGACAAACTGAGAGTTTCTAAACGTCAACAAATGAGCACAGCAGACAGAGTCATTGTGGAGCTGCTGCTCACAGCTCACAGCTCACAGCCCACAGGCCACAGCCCTCTGCTCTGCTGATTAGAGGTAAACGCCTTCAGGTGTGCTGCTCATCCGTGCTGGCCCAAAACAGACATAAAGCCCACATCAATAATGTTTCCATGAAACACCATCACATTACATACAATCACACACACCATTAAATATAAAAAAATGTGTAATATATTGCTCCCATATTTAAGAATGTGTTGTGTTAGCAGCAAATATGCTGTAAACAGGCTGCCCATAGCAAGCACCAAACATGTGATCCCTCTGGGAATTGAACCCATGATTCTCTACTCTCTGCTTCCAAGGCCCACAGGCTCAACTTTTATGAATATAGCACATAATGAATGTATTGACTGGTACCTATTTCTGCACGTCTTAGTCCTTCTGTCCAAAAGTGCTCTTTATACAGTGATTTTCACCACATGTTCTAGGAATTTAATTTCCCCCCATTTTGTCCACTTAGATTACAAATAGCTCTAAAATGAAACAAACTGAGCTTCATAAAAACACCGGTGGTCCATGAAACCCTAAATTAAACAATAAAAAGACCAATTTAAGCTGTGAATTTGGATCATAGCGTTGTGAGTACAACAGTTATGTGAGGCTGATTCATGTAATCTCACCCTCTCTGGCTCCAGAGTCCTGCTGACACAGCAGCTGTGAGCAACACGCATGCACGGCCGTGCGCGTGTGTGTGTGCAGGTGGTACGAGGGTGGGACCACAATGCCTATGAGCTGAATAACAAATGTAGCATACAGCACACCTGAGGAGCTGTCACTGTCATAATCAGCCGTTTATAATGCATGGCAGAAGGAGGACAGGAGTGGAGAGGAGGAAACGGGGACACGGTTGGTATCAGAGCTCAGTCTGTATTACATCATTTTCTTTTCTTATCCTCCCAACGCCTCAATCAGGAACTGGCTTTTTAAATCTTTTACTCTCAGCTCAAATTGTCTCCAGGATATTGGATACATCTCTGTCTGAGCCACTGATCCACAGATGCTACATATGGAGAGCTGGACAGTTAGCTTCACTACCTCTCCTATTTCACCCTTCCTCATCCTTCACACCTGGTCTGTGTCCGGACACCTCCTCCGGAGAGCTCAAGGTGACGCATGGCCACTCAGAGACACACTGTGTCCCCGGCCCCTTGACGATCACCAGTTGGTCCCTTTGGTTTTACCCCCCTTTACAGCTGCCTGAAGTCCCTGGGCTGTGGGTGCAAACATTTCCCTTTGAGTCCTATTGTTTTTCCCCAGTTTGACACTATAATCTACAGCTACAGGAACTGCAGGTTAACCTACTGTACTTCAACTCTCCAGTATAACCTTTCAGTACTTGCAGGGTATGTGCATGCAGTCAGAACTGCCTGTTAGACAGCAGGCCTGATATTTTTCTGCAGGGTCAGCAGAGAGTCGGCCGGGCCAGCATCATGGAGGAGTGAATCGATGAAACCCAATTAGAGCCCAAACAAAAACAGGTCAAGAGGAAAACTGGGCTGCTTGAAAAGCAGAGACAAAGACAAACAAATGACTCTGTAGACCTTTGTCCGACTGTAAATAAAATATCTCTACCGTAGAGGCAGGCCGGTGAGGAAGCACTCTGTGTTTGGTAGTGAAAAATCTGATTTAAAGACTGTAACTCAATACAGCTTCACTGGAGATTCATGGGAGTGCTGCGTGGGACACTGTAGAGGAAATTGAATGGTGTAATACAAAAGAATTATTATGCTTCTTTTTGAGAGTATTAAGGATATGTGATTGCACAATTAAATATATTTTAAAAAGCTAATGGATTAAAAATACAATCTGTGATCTTAGCCCTTCATGCGGGGAACCGAGACCAGCAAAACACTGTATGTAGATTTAAAAACACTATTTTTTTGGCATTAAAACAATCTAACAGTACTGCTGGGTGTTGTGCCAATTTTCTTCTGTGTAACGGCTGCAGTCATGTGTATGTGTGGAGGGCAAAGTAGCAGCAATATGTGTCATGATCACCTCTGGTGCCAGCTAAATGAAGCATCCATGGCTCTGAGCAACCTGCCACTAACATCTGCTGCTTTGGCCACCAGTGACCTTCCGAGCTCTATTTATTCAGCCCTCTTATATATTTCCACCACTGTCTACACCAGACGGTAAAAAAAAAAAAACTCTAATAAACCAGGAATGATTCATTTTTATAAACTATAGTCTACAGAACAGAGTGCGGAAAAAAATCAATTTGAAAAAAAAGGAGCGGATGCGGTGACAGTGATCTGCGATGTGATTAACTGCTGGTTATCTTTTCTTTTTCTTTTTATCGTCCGTAACATTCATCCTTCTCACATGAAAACATCATATTAATTTGTGAATTAGTGAAAGAAAAATATTTTTAGCTTTTGATAGCCTGCTGACTGCTAATGAGCTCGCATTTGGCGCTATATAATAAGCTCTTTCACGTTCACAGCAAAGAAATCAGATACTAATACCCACAGGCGTGCGTAATGCAGTAGGTACGAATGCAATCAACATGAATTAAGTCATGTGATAATCTGATTAAAGCTCCCTATCTGGTGTCGTATCGACAATACTGACAGTTACTTACCAGATAAAGTTTTCTGCTTAAAACAACATAGTGTGTATGTTAAACCCACACCATCCCAGTCGTAAATAGGGACATATATATTTTTTAATATGGTTGCATAAAGACTTTTATCATATTTTAATAATGGTTTTAATCCCCTTAATGAACAAACTCTACCTCTGTATGCAATCAGGGAAGCCATTTGCCTCCTGCTTAAGCCCACAGTAATTATTAGGCAAACACATTTTCGTAATCAGGCTTCCCTTCCATTTGCATGAAAGCAATCGAATGTAAAAAAAAAAAACTCCCCCAACAGAAAACATAAGATAAAAAAAAAATTATCAAAGTTACCCTCACTGTCGTTGCGTCTGTGATTACACAAAAGGTTCCCACTCCCACACTGCCTCTAAAATTAAGCCTTCGATAAGGAGGATTAGTTTGAGACAGAGGAAGGTGCAGAGGTGGATCAGAAGCCACAACAGCCTTCATAAATCCATCCTGGCTCCAGTGCTCAGACAAGCTTTTGGGTCTGCTCCTAAATCAGGCCTGTCAGGACCAGAGACAGTCGTGCTGCAGATCAATGCCGAGCAGGGAAATACATTTTGGGCGCAAATGTTCCAGAGGTCCAAGGGGGAATTCGCATTTAAAAAAAAACAAACATATAAATTATATTACACAAACACAAACATTATTTCAAACGCTTAGTATTTTGACTGATAAACCAATTAGGGGTGAACTGATAGCAGCTCCAGTATCAGTATAATCACACTGAAAAACAGATAATGATGAGGGACTTGATGATAACTGACAGGCCGTGCCATTTTCTGTGTTGATTATGTACTTTTAAAGAGATTACCTTCACTGTCAACTCCATATTAAATAAGGATTGAATTAAGGCTTGAAAAATGATTCAACCTTAGATGAACAGCTCTGTTTGGAGTGAGGAATGCAATGTGTTTGTGTTCTCCACACCAAAATGTCTACAGAAATGGCAATTGGTTTGTAAGTTGTGCCTGTGTGTGTAAATGTGTGTGTGTGTGTGCCTACAAACACTTCAGTGGCTGATCATGTTTGGAAGATAAAGCTATTTATCAAAACAAAACTTTCCAATTCCACCCTGAAAGCTAAGATAACAGCACTGCAGCCATTTATTATTTTCTCGCTCGCTGCTTGGAGGAGGAATACAAACTTGCTCCGTGCTCGGCGTAGCTGCGTGTTTGGAGTCACAGAGAATTGAACGGCAGATATTTCAACTGTTATGTGTAGTTTTTGGTTTTATTTATGGCCGGTTTCTGCATCTCTGGCATATATTGAACTATAGAAGCAGCTGTAGGATTAAATGTGTTCAAACCAGTCTTTTTACACAGTGAGTGTATGTGACTCATATGGATGCAGTGCTGGCTGGAAACTGTCATCCACATTAGATTGTTTGCAGGCACGTGGTGATGTTTAACTACAGCTGGAACCCTTTGAGACCCAGACTGGGTGAAGACCAGCATTTTAATCATTTTGACAAATTTGAAATGTTTCTTATGAATGAAAGTCTATGACATCATAAGGCTCCTTTTTTTCATCTCAGTCATTAGCCCTCTCAAACTTTTTCTATTTTTTTTAAGTCTATGGCAGCATTTTATTTTAAAATATTCTTTTACTAACGAATAAACACAATAAAACCCGGATCATGTTTCCCAGGAGTTTATAAATAATGTCTATTGACTTTGGTCACAAAAGTTTGTGACTTTTAAAATATGGGTCCCCAGAAAAAAAAAAGTGATGTGAAGTAGCATCTCCCAGAATTCTAGAGAAAAAGTGCCTTTGGAAATGTTAAGGCATAAGTGGAGGATATTAGAGCAATAGCTTCACCCCTGTAAAACTGTTCCCTGTGCACAGAACTCTATTAGACAGCTGTTGAAAGTGTTGCACAGCTGTCTAATGGTAGTGCTATTTACAACATTGGCACATTAGAAGAGGACCAATCTTGGGTCTCAACTCATAATAGAGACCCAAGATTTTCAAGCATATGTTCCAACATATCTACATCACAATACAAAAGGATGAAGTGATGTCATTTTCCTGTTTCCCTTTCATGCGCTTCTGAAGAAAAAAATGACTTTGTCATAACTTTGCAACACCTGGACTTTAAATATTGTGACGAGGACAACGTAGCATAACAAGTGACAATTACATGTCGAAGGCAACAACGCGATGAACAACTGTGTTGTTCAAATGAATAGCGAAGCCTCTGTGGCATCGCCGACTAAAGAAGCTTTGTTCTAGGATTCAAAACAATTTGTCTTAATCGGGCAATCAATCACAGTTAGCATGCCACATGAGCACACAGCAGGCAGATGCGACCCTTCCTGCCAAAAATTCCAAATCCCAAATTGGGGCAGACACACACTTGTGAGAGCCCAGTGACACAGCAGACTTTGCCAGGGCTGCTGTCAGTCGCTTGCGAGGAACATTTTATTTTTATTTGTTGACAAGGAGGTGGCGCCACACTGCTTTACTATACAGACATGTCTTCTCACAAGCAATTACAGGGAAAGCACTCAGTGGACACATTTTTTGATGTCTTTGTCCCAGTTTGACACTTTGCATACCACATTATGCAGTACAGTTAGCTCTTCTCAAGGCTGTACATTTTCAATAAAGCAGTACTCTATGTTTAAAACATGGTGGACGCGCGTGACGTCGCTACGTCGCGAGGACACAACATCTAGAAATCAGATGAAATTTTACACGTGCAGTGATATATCACCCTTACACAGACACGGCTCTATTTGGCTCTATTGTTCACATGTTATAAAAGACTGAATGAGTCGATTTGGCAGGAGTGGAGAATAATCAGAGTACTTCTCTGGTCCTCAGAGATCCTTTATTGAATGCATCACAATGAAGCTTGATTGGAATAGATAATGGCTTTGAGGACTAGGTTTCCCCTTTCCACAGACTAATTTGTTCCAAAGCAACCTTTGACATGCCAGGGATTGACAATGACAGTGTAATTATCCAACTGTTGAGGAGAACAAAAAAAAAATCTGTGTTTATACCAGAATATGCGCTGCCAAAATAATTGATCGCTGTGGTCCGGTGTCATTTTAAACTCTTGCAACTGTCTGTGTCAATTTGGATTAGCCACCGGTAAATTCAACAGGATTAAGCTGTGTGTGCACGTATGTGATGCCGAGGGATGTCGTTTAAAGTTGGTTTGGGGGGCAGAATCGACTGAGCTCAGCAGTACAACATGTGGGAGTAGGCGGTGGAAATATATGATATTACAGTAACAACCAAAAATCCACAGGAAGAACGAAGAAGTTCGGCAGATGCGAAATTGCTGCTGACCTCGTTTTTTCTTCCAGCGCCATCCGGGCCACCGCGCTGCAGTGCTGCATCCAATTGTGCAGTGTTAAAGGTGCGGGGCCGAGGGCTCGTCCAGGCCAACGGTCCTCAGACACCTGCGCTTACAAGAGTCAACTGCGGTGTCAGCGTGGCAACCAACATGCATCATCTGGCTCCCCTCCCACAAGCCTGCAAAACAACATTATCTGTCAACACAGACAGTACATTCCTGCGAATACATTAACCTCAGACTGCACAGTGACCGCAGTGCTACATTTTTGACCATGCCCTATTCAGGTTGGAGGTGGAAACAGATTTCTCAGGGGGCACCACATCAGACTCATGAATCCTGCAACGTGATATTGTTTGATTGAATGCGCTAAGTCCAAATTGGATTCACTCTCCCAGCTCCTCCCCTCACTGCCAAGACAAGAACTGATGAAAGATAACCGCCTCTGCATTAATCAAAGAGATGGAGCACTCTGTTCCCACTCTCTATTGGATTAGATTGCATATATATTTAATAATTTGTACAAAATGCAATATCAATTATCGACAGGTCATTCAATGTCATCTTTTGTCCCCCTCTGTCACAGCAATAAAGCAAAATTAGATTTAAATATCTGCAGTACGAACATGCTTTCCATTGTTTTCCAGTAGTTTTCACTGTAAAAAAAAAATCTCTTGTTTTGTTTATCTAGATTTACATCAAGAAACACTTAGTAATTAGACATGTTAATCAATGTTAAGTGACAGGAGTCTGTTCTCGAAGGATGTGAGCACACTTCTCAGTCTTCTCTGCTGGTGTGTGTGTGCGTGTGTGCCACTGTAAGTGGGATGTGATGGTGCTTACTGTTTGTTTAGGATTACAACACACTGTCAGCGGCGGCTCCTTTGATTTGTAGTCGGAGAGGGAGCGGCATCGCTCCCATCACACACTTGCCTGCACCTCGAAACGCCAATAACTTGAAAAACAACACATTGCCCAGGAGAAGGTGAACCAAAAGTCAGCCCTTGTTTATTATGTGTAAATAGAATTTACCTTTAAAACAAACAAACAAACAAAAAAACTCTGCTAAGGTAAAGGTTCTTTTTCTTATCACAGTAACAATTAATTCCATTGAGCCACCTCATGACAGTTAATTAGGTGTCAGCAGTACAGCCGAGGTTATTTAACCTTCATCAGGCTGTATCACATGACATGATAATATAAGGGAATTATTCATTGCATATTTTATTAGGACATGAAAAAATTACTTACAAACTCTAGGCTAAAGTAAAGATGAATCAAGAGAATACAAATTTCAAAGCGTCGTTGTGATCAAGCCCCTACTGAAACAGTGGGTGTACAACAGACCAGTGTGACTATTCCAATCTGAAGTACACAGAGGGAGGGAAAACAGCCATGCAAGATTATTTTTCTTTACGCCAAATCATTGACAATTAATAATCTCTAAGATCAAACGTGCAGTAAACAGCAATTATCTGAGGGCAGAGTGATCAAAATGGGCCGTCTAATGATCAATACGGGCTGAGCTCTTCATGCAGGCTTAGAGACAACTGTCTTTCTAAAGCACTTTTCTCACAGGAGTCTGGAGCTAATGATCATTGAATTGAAATTAGAAACAGTAGATGCACATTAAACCCAGGATGTTGGAGAGAGGGGGAAAAATTCTCAACAGTGAATGTTTTGATCATTTGTCATCCATTGTGTTTTTCAAAGTCATTTAAATATAATGTGCATGAGTAACTAGAAACCAGACAAAACCCTTCAAGGGCGTGACCTCAAAGGGAGCTGTAAGAAAAAGAGATAAGGTACTACAAAGAAAATGTAATTACACCACTAACTTGCAGCCATTAAAATGTTTGTTTGTTTGTGTATTCTGCTTGGCAGTACATTACCTCTCCATCCAGCAAGTTTCTAAGGGCTACTATCCTCGTTGGCTTGTTTTATTCTAAATGAGTCACAACATCTGTTCAACAGCCGTGCTTTTCAAAAGAAAGGCCCAGAAAACTGTGAATTCTAGGTACTCCAGGTAATCAGATAGGTAGATTGTTTTACTGTAGTCATATAATTAGGGCTGAATAACATGAAATGCATCAAGGGAAACTTTCTAGGAAGCACTGACCAAACTTTTAAATAAAATAAAAAATAAAAACATTGTTTGAATGGCAGAGTTGCATTATTTGTTATTTTAAGTTCAACCACATTTTGTCACCTGTCATATACAATATAATTGAATAAAATAATTTAAAAAATGTGAATCAATATTTAATATATATTTACATGTGATTAATGTGTTTTAATTTGTTAACATCTTTCTACTCGTTTTTTATTGACTACATATACTGTATAGGTTTCTGTAGCTTCTCTGCGTGTCATGAGGTCAAATATAATTTTTTTGTGAGAGAGTATGTAGGGGAGATGGGGGGTGGAGGGTGCACCAAATAGGCTGTGCAACCCCCCCCCCAAAAAAAATAAATAAATAAATATAGTTTTAAGCCAGTCACTCTCTGCATTGCATGATATAACAAAGCCTATTGTTGGTGTGAGTGTTTGTATACATTATTTATATGTAGGTTATTCATTTGCATAATAGCTGGACTGTCCGTCCAGGGTGTTGGAATGTGGAGTTGGCTTTTTTGACCGGTAGGGAGAGACAGTGAGATGGGCGGCTGAGTGGCTGAGTGGCTCTGGCTCTTTTTGTTTTTGTGTCGGGCAAGAGTAGATGGGAGGAGGGAGGGAGGGAGCAGCCTCAGTACCAGTCTCTCTCTGTCTCTCTGTCTCTCTCTCTCTCTTTCTCTCTGCCTCGCTGCTGACTGGAAGTGCATAGACAGATAGAGGAGAAGGAGGAGGAGGAGGAGGCTGCAGACTGTAGGCTGCCTCCACTACTAACACCACCAACGCCGCTGCTGCTGCCTTTGGACGCTTTTGACCTACAGAGGGATACCCTTCCTTTTTTTCTCCATTTCTCCTTCTGTTTTTCTTTAAATTTTGGATTTGCACATTTGCCGTGACGTTCGCACCGATGTACTCACTCCACGAGGGCAGCGCTGTGCTGCTGCTGCTGCTGCCGCTCTTGGCCGGACTGCAGGTAAATGGAACATGGGAACGGACGGAGTTACACCGGACACTTTACTTGTTTTTGACTGTAGCGATGCTGTTTCTTGGGGTTTCTAGAGCTGCAGAGTTAAGGACACACTACAAGTCAGCCCGGGTTGTTGTACAAAAGAGAGAACATTTCTATATGTGAAGGCTTAGAATTAAAACCTCGGTAAAGTAGGTCCTGTACGGGCTTCACTGAGCGACTAACGGTTTTTCCTCTGTTCAACGCCCACGAGATGCTGCCCGTTAGAATAAACACTGCGCACGTTTAAAACCGCTATACCTGATCAAATAAAGAACACATATACTAAAGCATACATCCAATAAATATATTTAAAAGTTAATGTTTAATATGTGTGTACTGTCGTCCCCTGTTTCCCTGTGTGAGTTGATTATAAATGATCCACTACGTAAGAAACGCACTTTAAATACGGGCTGTATATGAACATGAGTAACAGGATAATGACTGTTGACTAACTCTAAAGAATATAAATATTTCCTCAAAACAATTTATTTTTCTTGACTTGTGTTTGTTGGAGCTGTGCTCCTCCCGAGCAACACATGGACATAAATATTAAATAGACCAGTTTGGGTATTTCCAGTGGTTAAAAATCAAAAGAACGTGTTTTTTTCTTTACTTAATTAATCCCAGAACTGAGTACTGAGTACTGTACAGCAGCCTGGTGCCATTGTTGTAATATTTTCTGAATTCCTGCTCTTCCCCTCCTTCTCCTGTTACTTTCCTCCCCATTTAAATTCACATGATTAAAAAAAACGCAACTGGCACAGCTACCCACAATGCTCCTTTTCAGCAGGGCTCTTCTCCTCTTTCGTTCTTGCAAGAATGCAATGTAAAGAAATATGGCTGAAGCCAAGGGGCCAAATCAATGCTGAGGTTGTGATGAAGCACATTGGGATATGCATGGACGTCAGAGTTATGCATCCCTTCTGCTGTTTTCTGTCTGTTTAATACAGTGTGACTCATTCTTGCTTGATTGATGCCTAACCCAGACAACGTCCACAGTCATTTACAATTTTTTTTGCATTCATTTATTCCATGCATCTTTTGTGCTGTCACTCAGATTAAGTTTTTTTTTTTTTTTGAATGAGGCGAATCCTAAAAAAAGACTCCATTGATCACAGTCGTGGCTCCTGCAGATTCCTTTCCCCATTGTTTATTCTGGTTTTCACACATGCATGTTTATTCCCGCAACAGTGGATCGTTAGCGTTTACTTTCTTTATTATCCCTTGTTCCTCCACTTCAAAGTGGAATGTTTGTCTGGGTCGGTGTGTTGTTGATCAGAGGGACTGAATGAGAAACGTTGGTCATAACCCTACACTGTGTCTGGGCCCCTCCGGGGGACAAATGGGGCTTGTTCTTGCCTAGCCATGCTTCTTGGCTAATGCTTAACCCTTTTGGCCTCATTATCCTAATTGCAGTCCCTGCTATAAAAACAACAGATGCTTTTGTACAACTGTGGGGACTCAAGAACGTGACCAAGAGGTTTTGGAGGCAACAGGGTGCATTTTAGAAGGTTGATTTACGAGTCATTGTCTCACACTTTTTTCCTCCCCCCACTATTGCAGATAGCAGAGGGCAGAGGCACCACGCCATGCAGGCTGGGCTTTTCTGAAGATGTATACAAGGTTGTGTTGCCAGATATCGCGGAGATAGGACAGCCCCTCTTCAATGGTGAGTATGGAATATTCCCAGCACTGTTCCTGTGGTGGATTCTTGTTATGTCTGTGTTTGATTGACTGTGGGTATGTGTCGGCATGTGTGTGCTTCCCCCCATGTGTTACATTTCAGGTGGGAGAGGGCGGGGAGGGGGGGGGGGGGGGCAGCACAAGCCTGACATATTTAAACAATTAGCTTCGGTGTAGCTGTGTGGCATTGTAACTCATGTACTTTCCCTTGTAAACCAGCAAAAATGTGGTTTAAATTTGTCGAACTCACGTAGCCGGTTTGCTTACATGCTGTTTTCCCCTGTATTTCAAAGCAGACACACACACCAGCAGATTGCTTCCAAAAATGCTGGGTCTGG